CGATACAGCACAGGTGGGTCTAAGGAAACTCATTTTGAAATCTTCTTCTTCACTTTATATATCAAATAGTTACATCAGTTAAAGCCTCTCTGCACTAGTGTGGCCAGGAGGTATTAGACCTCCCTGCATGGTCACTGACAGGTGGTTATCTCATCAAATCAGCTCTCAATTAACATAAGAAAAAGGGGACCATGGGGGACCAACAATCACCGATTAGGCACTGTTTGCTATATAGAGGGCGCATGTAGCTATAAGTAGTGTAGTGGGGCTTTAAACTTATATTTCTTAAAGTGGCCTATGTAGGAAGAAGACTGATCAACCAAAGAGTGCAGCTCTGTGTCTTCCAACACGATACAGCACAGGTAGGTCTAAGGAGTCTTGTTTTGAAATATTCTTCTCTACTTTATATTTCAAATAGTTACATCAGGGCCCCGGTGCATAAAACCAACCATTGATGGTAACTTTGCCATCAATGGCAACTTCCATGGTAATAGGGCTCAACAGCAACTTTGTACATAAGAGATAGGAGACTGCAAACTTCCGATTGATTTGGATCAATCGCAACTCTTTGTAAGAAAGGGCCTGTTGAGTCAATACAATCCAATGTCCTCTATCAAGATGAATGGGACTTCAGAAGATTCCCGAGTTGGTTAACAGATGAAGCAGTCTTCACAATACTAGGTAGACGGTTCCACAACTTTGCTGCAACCAATGGATAAGACATTAAAAGGGAGCTTAAAATTGTTGGACAAAATATCAACCTCCTGAATGCTACAGATTTCTATAGATTTAGAGATCTGCATAGTTTTCTTTTATAATTGAACCACATGTTGAAAGATGTCACAAATGATTGTTCCTGAAAGTTTGAATATTGTTGGGTAAAGGATGTATGACATATATACGCTTAGCTTACATACACCTAAGATCTTGATACCTACTTATATAGAAAATAAGGTTTAAAAAAAATGCTTGAAGAGAAAAGGGAAAGAAGGAGGATAGACGGATTGAGGACGGTAAACCACAAACAAGAGACTCCAAAGATCTACCCCAAAATCTTCTCACCGGCACCAGAGTTGCCTAGGCCAATGATGGCCAAGAAGATTGGGCAACGTACCGCGCCGGTCTGGCAGGAAGGTGCCAATTGTGGTGAGGGGTTTTCATGGACCAGTGGATCTGAGATTATATTATCAAAAAATATGATTTTAGAAGAGTATCAATTTACAAATAGTAAAAAAAAGCAAAAGGCGTAAATATTCTAAAAAAGAATGAAACGCTGATAATACCAAACAACAACAACAACACCTTTTTGTCTCGCCTGCGTAGCAAAAAGTGAGACATAGGCGCCGCTTTTCCGGTGACGGCGGCGGCGACGGCGACGGCGACGGCGACGGCGACGGCGACGGCGTCAACATCAAAAAGTTAACCTAAGGTTAAGTTTTTGAATTTTTGGTATAATTTTTAAAGTATAAGTTCTTAGTCAATGAAACTTTGACTATAGGGTAATCAAGTATCCCCAATCATGTGAGTAGAATTTCAGATCACAAAGTCAAGGTCAAAGGTCATTTCAGGTCAACAGACTTGGACTATGTTGTAGCATCATCATCGAAAACTTAACCTAAGGTTAAGTTTTTGAATTTTTGATATAATTTTGAAAGTATAGGTTCTTAGTCAATGAAACTTGGACTATAGGGTTATCGAGTCTCCCCAATCCTGTGAGTAGAATTTCAGGTCACTAAGTTAAGGTCAAAGGCCATTTAAGGTCAACAAACTTAGACTTTGTTGTGGCATCAACATTAAGATTTTCAAAATGCTTCTTCTTCGTTATTTTTTAACCGATTTTGATTCTGATTGTTTCATATGATAGGGCTAGGAGGGGATTTAAAATTTCTACACAGAATCGTGAAATTCATTATCTATGCTAATTTATGCAAATTTATTCGAAATCACAAAAAAGGCTTCTTCTCCTTCATTTCTCGACCGATTTTGATTTGGTTTGCTTTATATCATAGAGCTAACTTTGGTACACTAAACTTCTACACAGAATTTTGAAATTGTTCTCCATTAATTAATTATGGTAATTTATGCAAATTTATTCCAAAAATAACAAAAATTGCTTCTTTTCCCTCATTTCTTGACCGATTTTGCCTTATCTGGTAGAGCTAAATTTGGAACAATAAACTTCTACACAGAATTGTGAGATTTTGCTCCATTGATTATTTATGGTACTTTATGCAAATGAAATGAAATTATGTCCCTTCCAGGGCATCAAATTTCTATTTTTTGACCAGTTCAAAAGTGTACCACATAAAATTTACGATATTTGTTGTTGTGAGATGCGGATGAGCGCTACGTCATTGACGTTCTGGTTTATCATATTGAATTGCGTTATGCAGGCGAGACCGCCGAGAGCGTTTCCCTTGTTTACTAAGTAAATTGGATAAACATCTGTTATATGAACAGACTCCCAGGGATTCAGTATGTCAATGACCCACTTGTGACATATATTTTACTAATTGTTACAAAGTTAATTGTGGTAAATATTTATCTTCCTGTTATTAACTACTTTGGAAGGCTAATGTTACACTGGTGATTGATTACGTATACTGAGAATTTAGCCTGGAATGAAAGTGAAAGTGTGTCATTCATGTGGAGTGTTATCGAGGCTCATGTAAGTTGAACGGTGTAGATAATATGAAGAGTTCACCACCAAAACGTCATAACAGCCAGATCTGAGATTCATGAACCTTGTGGCATTACAAAATTTTATAGTATCTGGACCAGAATTCAATCATCTTGAAGATATTGTCTAGGTGCAGCCATTTCCAGGTTTCTGAGAAAGTAGCGTCTCATAGTTTTACCACTCTGTACACACATGTTTAGAATGGCAGGAAATATGTTGTTTTGACCACATCTTTACCCTAGCAGACAGAAACTTCCTGTAATTTTAGATCTATTTTATTGGTTTTTACTGAACTCTGAATGGACCTTACAAAGAGGTGGAAATTTGCCAGGAAGTCTGGTAGTTTGCAGGGTGACTGCACCTACTGGTATATATATATATATATATATATATATATATATATATATATATATCGTCTTCTTTTTTTCATCGGGGGGGGGGGGGGGTGATTTTACTTCAATGAACTACATTTCTAGTTCAATAGCAATCTCTAGCATGTATATGCAGCACAGCTACATGTATGATATGTAGTTGCTGATAGATAATACATTGAAAATTACCCCGAGAAATGATGTTGGATGCTTATTCTGTTTTTATTTCTCATGTATTGTGAATTACCAGTAGAAATGTTGTTTGCTTATTCTGTGTTTATTTCTCAGGCCCAGAACCCATGCCTGTCTAGGAAAGTACATGTAGTTTCCCCCGTTCAAACATTTCAGTCAATGTAACCAGATTATCTTCGAGGAAACATGATGAAAATGAACTGTCATTAAAAATAAATCATTTATGTGAACTTATGTAGAATTTACCATTCAAATGTACTGTAGTTTCCTTTTTTCCAAATCGAATGCAAAATACTAATATAATTGAAGTGTTAATTCAACCACAATAACAATTGTCAATTATCTCAAATTTCCTGAACCGGAGATGCCATGTTCTGTCACGATATCCTGATACACGTAGGCAACCTTCATTACAGCATTAATACCACAGGTCATAAGTACTGCATTTACAGTGTCTGCTTGGTACTTCCTAGTCTGTACAGTATGATCATCTTTCTGTGCTGGGTAGTGATTGCTTTGCAATGGCTTCTGATTCCATGAAAAAGGTAAATTGTTGCCTCTTGACCAACTAAACTGAGGACTACTGAAGCAGCGTGTATGCATACTTTGATGGCATGGGGGATTGAGAAGATTGTATCTCATCCATATATTGCAGGGAAGCTTTTTTGTCTACCAGGAAACACATTGTTCAACTGAAACAACCCACATTTAAGAACATTGTGATATTTTTCAAACATTGATTTTAACCTGTATTGAACTTCAGGGGTTGATGGATACACTCTGAGCAGAAAGTAGTATTCATATCCCTGGTAAATACACTGTAACATGCACTGGCCAGTCATAACAAGCAAGATTGGTCTGACAGCTTCCTTAATAATACACAGAACTATGAATAGGCTCCGGATGATCCTCAAACTTGGTCAAGGTCTTATCAACTTGCCTGTCTATGTCTGTTCTTCCAAGACCGATGGTCATAGAATGCTCGTGATGACGGCATATGTTTTTCTTTTACTTTGCAGGTGCTGTTCTGGCTGCAGAACTACGGAGAGGAGTTCTTGAACAAGCACACGAGCATCGGAAAGTCGCTGCATAAAGCCAGGGCGTTGCAGAAGAAACATGAGGAATTTGAAGCCATTGCTCAGGTGAGTTTAGAAAACAAGTCGCAGAGACAACAGAAGAGGCAGATAGTGATAGTGATAAGGATGATGATTATGATGACGACGACGATGATGATGATGATGATAAATTTGTGTATGATGATGTGGATGGTATGGAACTGTCAGTGGTGTTGATGTTGCCAATGGTGGATTAATACAGAAGGGAAGGAGGAGAGGATACAAGCCAAGAGCGCTGAATTTAATACTTCTTTTGAAAAAGTAACAAGATATCAGAGTTTCGGTATTCATCATTTTTTACTTGTGAGGTAATGATGCTTGGGCCAGTATTGTATTGCTACCTCATTTAAGATTGTCTGTTTCATAGCTAATTCCTAAATACCACTGAATAAGTTTGCTGCTGACTTTTGAAGAAATCTAATTTATTACTCCTTGTTATCTTATGGATGGATCATTTCAATCTTACATGTTTGTGGTTCAGCTATTTGTTCATTGCTTTCTTCTTCCAAAATGAGTGTCGTAGCAGGCCTAAGCCAATAATGAAGAAGAAGACAGTCAAATGAATAGATGCCTTCATCTGTCTTTCTTAATGTCAGTATCCAAATGAATATTATTCAGAGAGAGAGAGAGAGAGAAAGAGGGAGAAAGAGAGAGAAAGAGAAAGAGAGAGAGAGAGAGCAAGAGAGAGAGAGAGCAAGAGAGAGAGAGAGTAAGAGAGAGAGAGAGTAAGAGAGAGAATCCATTATATTTTGAATAGATCTGCAAATAGAATCAATTTCATATTCTGAAGATAAATCCAATGAAGGTAAACCTCTATGATTGAAATTCATAAGAGGAAATGCTGTAGCTCTAGTTATTCCATTGATATTGTTAGAGACAGAAGTCCCTGGGTTTAGCCTATTTTTGAATGTCCTATCATAATTGCTGTGTCCATCAGATAAGTTTTATACCGGTAACCGGTCATCTGGTTGGTTACACATTTATCTTAGATATCTATAGCATCCCAGCTTTAATAGGTATGACACAAAAATTAATTATATTGAAAAAGGTAATATTGAGTTATGTTAACCCAAACCATATTTTCTAGTAAATCGTTGTTGCCTTTTTCATTCATTTGAAGTTTAAATTTTGGTTTATTTGTGTTTTTAAGGGGCTATATATACATTTATCCTTGTATGATATTGTTTGCTTCTTTATTAACATTTTAAAAATGCAAGCAAATTTAAAGGAAATCCAAGTCACTTGAATGGTAAAAAAAAGAAAGGAAAAAAGAAAAGCTGACCCATTTAGTAGACTTATACAGGGGTGTTATACAGATGTCATGAGAATCTTTAAGACATATTTGGTGTAATAATGTGCTCTCAGTGATCAACTTTTTTTTTTGAGTCGGGCATACGAGATACTTAACTATCTGCATGAAATATATGTTTCCTGAATCTTATTGACTCATTGTAATGTATTAAGATGAAAGCTGCCTCAAACAAATGTTGTGCACAGCTATGTTGCAAGTTGTTCTCATACATGTATGTCAATACTTGAGACCTAAGTTTGCATGCATACTACTTCCTGAACAAGAGTTACGTGTCAAACATTGTCAAGCGAGGGCTTAATGGCCCTAGGTATAATGTGATAATGGGGCAGGCCATAAGACGAATGACCCACTTTCTGGAAGTTCCGTCTTTATCGCCCCTGAAAACATGTCCTCACAAACAGGGAGTGACATAGGCTTTTGTTGCGGCAGGCTAGTGGAACAAATAGCTTTGTGTAGCAGTGCAGACCTTATCGTGCATGAAAGCGGCCGAGAAGCTTGACGTGTTCAGAGAGCTGTAAAAATAATTGGCTTTAGTACTGACTTCAATTACTGTATGCAGTGTCATGTCAAAGTAGAAGTGCTGCACAAGTTAATTGTAATCATACACACAAACAAATTAATTGTAAAAAGTAAAACCAGAAATAATGCATCTACCAGCAAAGGAGAGGTTCTTGGAATTACCATAATGTTTGGATCTTTTATTTTGAGAAAACCTCTCTGATGCAACTTGGCTTTATAGTGGGAAACTCATTACAATAAAGCAGGAACCATCCAAGAAGATCAAGGAGAGAACCGGATTTCAAATTTGAAAGAATAAATCATAAATTGTTGTTATTCAAGTGAGATTCCATAGAAAAAGGAATATCATATCAGCTACCGGTATGTGATATTTATATACTTCAGCCAAGAATGTGAGCAACCAGTAATGTAATTCATCACTTCATGGTCCTTTTCTCTGATAAGTAGAAACCTAATTCTAACGATCACAATAAAGTATCCTTCAATACTTACCTTCTATTTTCTACCTCTTCTACTAATCCCCCAGACAACGAATCACCTGGTATCGAGAGAATAGCCCCCCTACCCCCCCCCCCTCTTCACTGGCATCCCAATCGATAACATTAATCAGGTGTAAATAGAACACAATAGGGCTTACCCGTCATTACATACTGTTGTGTAGTATTGTCCCAAAACCCAGTAAAGTACCCTCATATTTGAGATGCACTTAAAAGCCAACTTTATATCTTTATAATCCTTCCCCATAGAAAGACCAAGTGCATCCATAATCTCCTTCGCAGGAAATACCACCACTGTTATGTTTAAGCCCATACATAAAACTACAGAGTAGTCCATTGTCTTGGCGGCTCTCATTCATGTCTTTGTCCCTTTGACACAATGTAACCTACCCTCATATTACTTGTATCCTTCTGGATAAATATTAGATGTTCTGGCTTTTTAGAGGGGTTGAGTTTTGATCACCATTTGATCAAAACCCTCTTTCTAGCTGGCTCTCTCTTCATCTTGTGTTTTACATATGTGGAAGTTCGTAATGATGTGACCGATTTGAGTCTCCAAAGTTTGGAGATAATAAATACTCTGATATGTCTCCGTAATTACAAGTCTCTCCTTGCTGCTTCTTTATATTTATGTACCTCTCCTACTGCCAATAACTCAACACACCGATCCCAACACGACATGGTGGAGAACCCGGTTTGTAGAAAATTGATTTCTACTTGATTTCTGTGATGTGAGGAGAACCCGGCTTTGAAGAATTTTCTTCAATAAGATATCGAGGAGGACCCCGTTTGGTAGGGTTTATTCCGACTACTGATTGTGAGTAAGACCAGCAAGTACTGTGAACATTACTGGTTTCCTTCGTGGAGGATCGTCAGCAAGTATATCATATGCTTTCTTCAGATTAGAACTGAGACTTATTTCCATCGCTCTTGATGAGATGCAATATATAGCTTCCATTTACCGCCTCTATCCGTTCAACACCATAGAGTAGACTGTGACCTGTTTTATCCGGATCGACGTTCACTGGTTTTGATTTTTTTTGAAGAGCAAGTCGGTAAAGGCAGCATGACTGCAGCTGTTAACACATGTAGACGACAGGGAGCATACGATCGTTAGAATGGCCTTCCCGCTTCCACAACTTTGTCTGTTACCAGGCAGCATGGACCAGATCGACCAAGGCCTCGAAGATAGTAACCTGTCGACTGGCGACGACGACGATGAAGACGATGATGAAGGCGATGACAACGACGACAAACTTCAATGCACCAACAGCTACAACGGATCAGGAACGACACCAACGAACAAGAACAACGCCCTTGGCATAGACAGACAACATGCACCCAGGACCATGATGAGGACATCGATGCCACTACACCCAGAATTTTCGCTCAATAACTTTACAACCTGAACTTTCGACTTATCCTATTTTTTCTTCTTCATACTAAATGTATGATCCGCTGTTTTTAAATTTTAACACACCAGACAGATTGCTAGTTATGGGTAAGTGATCATTTTGTGTTCCAAGTTTGCGAGTGAGTAAGAGAGGATAGTGTTGTAGTTAATTGTTTTAATACTCTTAATAATGTACATCTGCGTAATTTATTTGCAACAAATTCGTAGTAATTACATGTAGCCAGTTAATTGTTTTTAATTCTTTTAATAATGTGCATCTGCGTAATTTATTTGCAACAAATTCGTAGTTTGCACTAGCTGTCTTTTCTTTCTGTTAACTGACCTTGACCACAATGACCTTAACCAACCATACAAGTACGGCTGTGGTGACACATATATAATATATGTATCTAAACATGATAAAGGAATTGGAAGTTTAATAAATTACATCACCACCCTATATAAGCTTGTCTAAGACTAGATCAATTGCTCAGGGCTTTCGTAATCCTGCCAATTTGCAGTGGAAAGGTGAGACAATATAATTTGTGATTTAAGGGTAATGTCACATGCTAGTCTAAACTAATTAGCTTATCACTGTTTGAGGCTTTTGTAAACCTGCAACATTTCTGCAGTCAAAAGATGGACAGATTTTGTGTGATTGTGTTTTATTTTGATTCTATCATCTTTTTGTGTTTCGTATTCATATTTTGTAATTGTAGTTCAAATTTTTAATTGCGTGGAAATTAGTTTAATGAATGAAATATCTAAATATTCACCCAGGGTTAGAGATGCAGTTACCAGTGCAGGCAGTATGACGCATAAAACTGACAGATAGTCAGTTCACTTCATAATTTAAATGAAGATTAGTCTCTGCGATATTGGTTAACTGAACAAACCATGTGCATATAGATACGAAGTTTGTTTCATTAAATTACTGTAACTATTTGTTGTTGTTCTCACTACCACGAGGCTGATTGAGAAGACACTAAATTACTAACTACTGACCATATACTTGCGACAAACAGACTACTCAGAGGACACTTTGCAGTATGACACTTACTTCGGACCGGCACATTATGAAACATATAAAATATTAGTGAATTGATAGGTATTAAGTCAATGATGGCTGACTTATGTTTGGATTTGTTTTAAAGAATTTTGCTTATTGTATTGTCGGAATAGGAATAGATTTGTATTAGCTGTTAATTGATCATAATTGCTGTTACATTCTAATTCTTACGTCGCTTTTGATTGACAAATTTGAAAATATCTGTTTGAGGTTTAATTGATTTTGATTCATTATTTGAAGGTTTTGTGATTATATGAATATTTGATTAATAACGGGATAGGTATATGATTGTACTACATTTCCATGTTCCTATTATTATTAGGCCTTGTAGCGTGGACTTACTTTTCATTACCTTGAGCACACCCGTTGCTTTCATATTTCATATATTATATATAAGCTCAAAGGTGATCATAATCACAACATATACTTACTGAAATTAAGTATCAAACTCATTTAGATACAAAGTAACAATTTGTTTGAGTTCTTTATTCATTGGATCATTGCTCATTCATTGGTTAGTGTACTTGATTTTACAGAAAAGAATAAGGATCATAATTTGTATTTGAGTTAACCTGGATTATTTTCCATTAAGGTTAGTTATCATTTGTTCGATTTGCATAATAGTCTCCACTGTTTTTGTTTAGTAAATGTGTTAAGAATAGACTCAGTGCCTAAGCAATAATTGTTACTATTATAAGTGTTATCAGTTTGTGCTTTTATAGTCTGTATTAGAATATTAGTGATTTTCATGTAGTTAATTTGCAAATGTGTGTGAGAGAGATTTAAGAGGAATTGGAACAATAATCACATGTTTCGCTTTTTTAACTAGGTTTCGTTTATTTTTCTTTAATA